CATCTCCTCCCCAGGTTACACCCAACAACTCGCCTTCCGGAAGCCCGACAGCTCCTACGCGGCCTTCAACAACCTCCCATCCAGCACCTGGTGAGGGACACGTTGTCACCACCACGTGGGTCCAGGTGAGAGGGCTGGACGTGACCCGAAGGTCCTCCTGTCCCCAGGCTCACAGCCTACGTGGCCAAAGTCTTCGCCATGGCCATCAAGCTGGTTGACATCGAGCCCGAGGTGATTTGGGGGGACGTATCCTGGAGAAGCAGAAGCCAGATGGGATCTTCCAAGAAGATGCTCCTGTGATCCATAAGGAGATGGTGGTATGGAGTGACCCAGACCACGTCCCTGCTGCCACCCAAGGCCCCACTGGCTCCGTTGGGTGACAGGGACCAGCGCTGGGCATGAAAACCACCATCCCGAGGTCGGGTCCTTCTGCTTTGCCCATCAGGGTGGCTACCATGGTGCAGAGCCCGAGGTGTCCCTCACAGCCTTCGTCCTCGTGGCCCTGCAGGAGGCCCGGGAGGTCTGCAAGGACCACATCAATGTGAGTGTCTTGGTCCTCAACCCCCACCACGGGGAGGGAAACAACCGGTGCCTGCCGCGCGGAAGGGGAAGACGAGGTGGCCAACCTCGAGAGCAGCCACCCGAGAACCCAAACTGACCCACTTCTCCTCCCAGAGCTTGGATGGGAGCATCAACAAAGCTGCTGACTACCTGGCCAGGAGGTACCAGTCCCTGGGCAGACCCTACACAGTGGCTTTGTCCTCCTACGCTCTGGCCTTGACCGGCAAACTCAAGAGCGAGAAAGTCCTGATGAAGTTTTCCAAAGGTGACAACTCAACGTGGGGAGGGGGGAAGACACACAAACCTGGGCCGGAAGGGGATGGTGCTGGGAGGACCCTGGCTGGTGCTGAGGGGTGGGTGTTCCCCCCTCAGGGGGCAGGAGCTGGGAGGAACGCAACGCCCTGACCTACAACATCGAGGGCACGTCCTACGCGCTCCTGGCGCTGCTGCAGATGGAGAAGACGGAGCTGACGGGGCCCGTGGCCCGTTGGCTGGCCCAGCAGAACTACTTCGGTGGGGGCTACGGATCCACTCAGGTGGGCTACCGACCCTGGCCAGCACCCACGGGTGCTGTGCTGGCACCTGGGTGTGAGGCAGCGCAAGGGGATGACGGTTCAGGGCTTTGGTGGGGGGTGTTGAGGTGTCACCTGGTGGTTTTGGGGGGGTTCTAGGGACGTGGTGTGTCTCTTGGGGGGGTCACTTCTGGTCCTGTGGGACCTCAAAGGCACCAGGTCACAGCTCTCAGGGTTTGGGGGTCACCTCAGGGCCCCCTGAGGACGTGGGATGTCCATGGGGAGCACCCCTGGTCCCATGGGATCTCAAGGGCTTCGGAAAACCTGGGCGGGGGACACCCACCCACCCTAATCCCTGGGGACACCTCCAGACCTTGGGGACCCCCAGGGACATCCTGC